GCATGTATACGATCGGCCGCTTTGCCATTGCAGGCGACGGACGACAGGTCCACAAAGTTCTCCGACTCTGAGCTCACTTTAGTCCTGAAAGTGGTTCCGTCGTCGGCTGACAGGGCGTAACAAAAGACCTCCACTTTGTCTCTGTTATGCATTCCGGGGACGCTTTGCATTAAATGAGACGTCGGATGGTTTCCAAAGTCAGAACTCAAATAACCGATTCTTAGGCGTCCGCCCAACGATTTCTTGAAAGCATAGGGAGGCTTATGGAGGACCTGTACTTTCTCAAGACATAGGGCCGCATGTCTGGCGGCAATAGCTTTGCGCGTCTCGTGAGACAAGGGGTATAACATGGAGTGGTGCGGATGTACTGAAGGCAAGCGATTCTTTTCGAGTTGTTCGGTGACAGTGATCACCAACTTCTTCATACGGCAGAGCATCAGTAAGGTCAGCGTCTAATAAACGTCTGTTACTCGATTTAACGTTATGCGCAGGCCTTTCAGCCCGATTGTTATTTGTGTAAATATCCAATCACGATATCAATAACGTTTATAACAAAGCACGTTCAATACCTTTAACTTCAATGCGGTCCGATAGGAAGTGATAGCTTCGGGAATATTTCCGGAATCCTTATGAATACTCGCTAAGTTGGAGTGGGCGTCAGCAAAGGCCGGGTTTATTTGTATGGCCCGAGTGTAGCACTGAAGGGCACCGGGAATGTCACCCATCTCTTTGAGTGTATTACCCATATTAGAGTAGGCGTCGGCAAAAGTAGACGATATCCTAATGGCTTCCTTATAGTGCAGAAGTGCTTCATTCAGTTTTCCCTGTTGTTGGAGAACCGACGCCAGGTTCGAGTGCGCGGCCGCGAACTCAGGGAATACGTCCAATGCCTTCAGGTATAGACGCGTCGCCTCTTCGATATAACCTGTAATTCAGCACATATTCAGTAAGACATAAATACAGCAAAACAAGTGTTCACACAAACCCTGTTCTCGTTTGATATTCGCCAAGTTATTGAGCGAATCCGCGTGAGTGGGACAGAGTCTGAGCGCCGTATTATAGCAATCCTCGGCCTCCTTCACCTGACCCTTCTCTTTGAGGGCATTCGCGAGATTGCAATACGCGTCCGGAAAGTTGGCCTGTAGTTCAATGGCCCGCTTATAGGTATCGATTGCCAAATCAATTAATCCTATAAAACAAGGCAGTTATAAATAGAAGCACAGGTATGACAATGAGTGATGCCTACCCTGTTCATAGTAAACACAGGCCAGATTTCCGTGGACTACAGCGTTGTTTGAACTCAAGTTGAGAGCCCGTAGATAAGCAGCCACTGCTCTGTCGAAAATTCGGGCCTCTTTTAAGACATTTCCCAAATTGATGTACGCGTCCAAGAAATTGGGATCTAATGCCACCGCCTATTCAACAAATTATCAAAATATTAGAAATTGTCAATAAATGCATCAATAAAATAGCAGACCTTCTCGAAGTGGTGTATAGCGAGCCATATCTCACCCTGAGCATTGAACACACATCCCAGGTTACTCCAGGCCACGGCAAACGTGGGACACGTCTCTATCGCTTTCAAATAACATGCCTTCAGATAAGATTAGAGGGAAGGGAAGAAAATGTTTTCATTAAAAACTGATTTTAAAGGCTACTTAAACACAGCCAATGGGTCAGTGAGTGGTCTCTTATAATACAAGAACTCCATCAACAAGACCCTGAATACAGTTGGCATTGATTTCGATGGAGTTCTTGCAGTGAATATATCGCAGGCATCGCATGGCAGAGAAGGCAGAGCCGCAGTGCAGTCGCTGTGCTGTTCGCTGAGCGCCGGCAACGCTATGCTATGCATGAATGGACGCAACGCTGGCCGCAGATATCGCGCGCCAACCACTTGATTGGCAGCCAATGGCAACGCAATGCAACGCAAGGCTGGCATCGCAAGCATACGCTGAGCAACGGCGCAGACCCTTATGGCTGTGCTTTCATTATATTATAATAATTTAAACTCTTCTCGTTATGTGATTTTGCCCGTCATTTAAGGATTATTTGGGATCTCAATATTGTTCACTATCTATTCAATAGATTATCACATTATACTGTATACGGGAAAACTCATAGATCGGGCAAATAGTAAAACTTGTCAAATGTTTGGTCAAGTATTACCACATTTAACTATCCGTGCCATCGAATCCAGTCATATCCACCATCTAAACGTGTCTTAAGCCGTAGGTTAACTGCAATGTCAGTCTTATGTGACCTCAAGTGAAACCCTATTACTGTACCTTTAATTCAAACCAATTAGAGGTCAATGTCATGATATGTACTGTAAATTCACAGCAATTGCTATCATTTGATGGAAAGAAAAAAAGAAATCAATTATTAATTAATAACGTTTAGTCATAGCTTTGCTATTTTCTGATTGTTTAGACTGTTCTGAAAACAATTTCATAAATTGTGTTAATTTTCCCTCAAATTATCACTAAATTAGTTAGTTTTGTCAAAAGTATTCATAAAAATTAATGCCAATTCACGAATCGGTGCATAGTAAGTTTGGCTAAGCGTTAGAATTTCTGTCTCTAAAATTTGTATTTTAATCATTGTAAAAGTATTTAAGTTAGTTTTGAATGAAGTTTCAGCAATATTTATAATTTATGTTAATTAATATTTATAATTACAGTTATTGTCATAATATTCGCCGCAAGTTCTTATAAATTAATGTTTAAAGCGCTGACAATGACTGCATAATAGAGATAACGTCTAGTAATTGCAATTTAAAGACTAGTCTATCGATTGAATAGCGTCTCGACATTAATTCAATTTGAATGAAAACTATAAAATGCAAATCAAATCAAACTAATCCTTCAATGAATTAAAATCCGAATGAATCGCTTTGCTATCAATTTGCCGCACTTGTCAAGTGATCATACATTTCTCAACTGTTATATTAAATTCAGTGCAAAATCATATGAGTCGACAAATAATTAAAATATAAAGTAATTTTGAATTTAAGATTTGAATTGAGAAACACATAATACTGTTCAATACAATTAGCAATGTATGAAACGCTGCGGGACTTTGAAGTAAGTTTGAAAAATCTCTGGATATTATGTTTTCCGCAATTTAGTGACAGATGATCGCAAAATTAGGGAAAATATGAATATAGATTTTGCAAATAATAAAATTATAACCTAAATGTTAGTAAAACGCATGTATTATTCGCGCGCCGTTTGACAACAGGATTAGTAGTGTTACCTTTGCCTCATCGAGACGGGACAGGGCTTTCAGAAGGTTTCCCAAATCACTTCTCACGCAATATAAGTCCTGTAATGACCAGAAAAGGCATCAGAATGTCATTGCATACCAACCAGTGGCGAATAATTACGGGATTGTATTGGAGGGCCGAGACGTACGCCTGGACCGCCTGCTCCATATCGCCCGCAGCCACCAGAGCCGCCGCCAGATTTATGTAGCCGTCGATGAAGTCGGGCTTTAGGCGCACGGCGTGTCTGTAGTTGTCCAGCGCTTCCTGCAGTTGACTCTTCTCTTTGTAAACGTTTCCCAAATTACTGTAGGCTTCAGCTAACAGCGAGTTCTGCTTTATGGCGAGTGAACTGAAGTGTGCGGACCTGGAGGACAGACAACACAGTCAGGCATGACATGCAAGTGGCCGACCATTCATTCACTTACTCCTTAAGGCGTCGGCACTGGAAGTGAATGGAACTGAGGAGGAGGAGGACCCCGGTGTTGGTGGGGTCCTGACGCCACAGTTGCATACAATGCCTTTCGGCCGACTCGTAGTCTCCCGCCTGGTATTCGCGATGAGATAACTCAGCCAAACCTGTCAACACATCCATCACATCAAGCAATAGGTCTAATGGCAGAGTGCAGTGGAGGGACGGGAGGTGTGCCTCCCTTTCCACTCGTCTGCAACTGTAAACGCAATCAATGGTAAGCAATGGACTGTACTTTGAAAGGCTGCGGCCACGGATGTGTTCATCTCCTGTATAGTTCGGGTCCTTTTGCTGCCATTAACTGTGGATGAAAGCAATGGATGTCAAGAAGTAGTCATAGAGTGGTCTAACTGTAAGAAGTGACGCAAACCTTCAGTCATCAGAGTTGAGGCCATTTTGATGTCATTTACGTGTTATTCAAGGGTTAGACAAATGGCGACAACACTTGCTATGACTGCACCACTGATTCAATGCAAGTGTGAACACACTTATGAGAGTTGTGTGCAAAGCAATCGATTGCTTATAACAACGATTCAAACAGTCATTGCATTCCCAACCAAATCAAATGAATTCAATTCAAACCAATCTATGATTTAAAGGTCTGTTCACTGAGTGCTAGAGTTGTACTCAATGTCTGTACACCAGTGTAGAGGTATAGCCTATTGTGAGGCAATGACGTCAACCAATGGACAGCCTATGGAAGTGTGACTAGAGGTCGACATCGAGCTATGCCTCAGACCTGGGGCTCAGACACCTTCCCATTGCATACCCTCTGCTGTAACCGTAATCTAAGCCATCATTGAATGCCATTCATACACATGTAGTGCTAATGTTAACTGATATTCATATTGATTACAATTTGCTTGAATACCTCAATACATGTGATCCTATTATTGTTATTATACACATGTCGAGCAATAAATGTATTATTGTATAAGTAAATAAATATACAGTACAGTACTGTATCATACCAAATGCATATCTTTCAAATATTTGCACTACATTTGATAGTTGACAAAAGTTTATGATCAGGGCTAATTGTAGGGATTAGTATAGATAATGATTGACAAGTCATATACTGTATAATAGACTAAATGTATGAAGGTGTTGGATGTAGTTCTCATTGGTATAGGATTGGACTCTACGTCTGGAGTATTATATGTCGGGATTGTTGTGTCTGTGTGTGAGTTTGGTGTCCAATGTGTGTCTGGCAATGAAATGTTCAATTCATCAAGTTTGCTATAAATGTTATGTTTGGCAAACAGTTAGTGGTATACTGTATGTGGTGAACGTATGCATGGTTTGTATGGTTTGCTTCATTGGTCTCATGATTAGGCATCCAGTGGTGAATGTATGACAAGTTGGTTGCAGTGAGCGGTCCAATGGGAGCACAGCATTCATACGACTGAAGCACTGCCTGTACTGCGGTCTACGGTTGCAATAGAGGTCTCACTTGATATTTGGCGTGAAGATTGGCATTTGTTTCGCTCATTTCACCAAATGTGGTCTCATATGAAGGCAACCATTGATTTGAACGCTATTTGAGTGAATTATTTGTCGCATATATGGCTAATAGTTGTGATTAACACACTTTGACACCAATTGGTTGTGTTTTGTTCGCCGTCAACACATCTAACACTTCATACATTTGCCGACATTTGAATTGAAATCAAATGTTGTTTTCATTTTGATTATACCTTTTATTACCACGAATTGATCCAAGCTTACACCACGAGATCACGCGCTCGCATGTCATTCAATTGATCCAATTGGTGACACCCATTGACAACAGCTATTTGTTTACCAATCATTGTCTCAAACTATTGGTTATGCATTGAAATGGCAGTCAAACAGAGAAAGATTGCTTTAATGGGTTTCCGATCAGTCGGTAAGTGACACCATTCGTGCCATGACCAGTACCACGAACACTGCCACGACGATTGTGACCATTGATTGTCTTATCATGTATTGCAGGCAAGTCTTCGTTGACCCTCCAGTTCGTTGAGGGACAGTTCGTCGACTCATACGACCCCACCATTGAAAACAGTAATCAAATGACCAATTGCTTGACAAACGATGTGTTTGACTCATAAGTTGTGCCATTAATAGCTTTCGTCAAGAATGTCAAAGTGAAGGGTCAGGAGTATAGCCTGCGTTTGGTGGACACCGCCGGTCAGGACGAGTACTCGATCTTCCCGCAGGCCTACGCCATCGACATCCACGGCTATTGTCTGGTCTATAGGTTGGTGTTAATGAATGATTGTTGTGGTGATTTCGTGGTAACTAATGTGATGTTCACTCAAATGAATGGATGACAGTATCAATAGTCAGAAGTCCTTCGAAGTGGTTCGAGTGATCTACGAGAAGCTCTTAGATATGACCGGAAAAGTACAGTGAGTGTCCACTAAATGCTTGTCTTGTACGCAATGATTGCTCAATGCATTGGTTTTGTTGCAGTGTTCCCATAGTTCTGGTGGCAAACAAAGTAGATCTTCATATGGAGAGGTGTGTGTCCTATGAAGAGGGCAAACGACTCGCAGACTACATGAAAGCAGATTTCGTAGAAGTCAGGTATATGTCACATCTCATACCATACCATACCAAGTGATCATACCATACATCATACGCTTATGAACTCTGTTTGATATTTAGCGCCAAAGATAACTCAGCCGTCACCGACTTCTTCCACAAACTGATTGTTTCGATCGAAAGGGGAGGCAAAGAGTCAACCGATAATACAAACGAAAAGAAAAGTAATTGTATTATCGCATGAGTTGTTACTAATTTTGTGATTATTGTATATAATTATATCAAATAATTAATAGACAATAATTATTCGCTAAAATTCATTAATTTGTAAATTATATTTGAAGTAAAAAAAACTTTTGTAACACAATTGTATTTCATTTTAATAAAATGATTTATTTAACGATAAACTATTTATATATTTATTGAAATAAACCTAAACTAATGGACAAGTATTATGAGTGGGTGTGTGAGGTGTTGGCGCTATCACTGGCCTCCTCTTCATCGAGTTCTTTGAGAAACTTCTTGCGCTCCCTTTCCAGTCGTATACCGCTGCCGATGGCGTGGTAGGAGTCGTAGATGGGTTTGGACATGAAGAGACACGTGGCAGTGATGGCCATTATCACGACTGTCCGGAATCGGTATAAAGAGAAATATGGCAGTCGTTTGACAGCCTTTCCAAACACTTGTCGATCACCGGCTGACAGGTCTCTCTCGCGTCCCAAATGAGTCTTAATTCGCTTGATATCCGCTTTATTTGACATGACTTCTCGTGTATTGGTTTAGTTGTCGCCGATTGTCTCATATATTCATTCAGATATTGAGTGTCCAATGCTTTCAATGTTGCGGTCATTCAGTAAAACTTGTATTCAATTCAATTGATTTGATGTGAGGTTAGAGGAAACCAAAAGTTGTTTGTATTTGGTTTGCATTGACTGTAAATATAGTCAAATACGTCCTCTAAATGCAAATATAAATAAATATGATTTTGCACTCAATTTAATGCTTTCAAGTGTTTCATGCATTTAAATATAAAACAAAAAGTATTTTAAACCTGGTTATAAGTGAATTGAATTTATTTCAAACAAATTCATTCAATGAATGAATAGTTTATCCGATTGTGTCATAGTTTTGCACATAATTTGTGTTTTGAGTCAATGTTTTGTGTTTGCATTGATTGAGTGGTGAATCAATTGGGGATCAATTGGTGATATTCTTGGAGTGGATGGACTCGCGTTCAAAGTACGCAAACCTGCCGTTTGTGGCCATCGGGGAGAGGGATGTCTTCGAGACGGACGACATGCCAGAAGCGGATCAGTCTGTGGTTCGGGAGCCGCTCTTCGACGCCTCCATTGATGTGATCTCTTGTGGAACTCTGGAAGCGTTCAATCGATTCAATGATACCAAAAGTGACACCCATTTAGAGAAGGTATGAATTTGTGTCCATTATATCTACCATTCATTTAATTGGGTTTTCATTGAAGACAACAAACGAGTCTTTACTGGAAAAGTATAACCGTTTGACTGATGAGATCAAGCAATTGGTTGACTCGACCTCTAAAGAAGACACAAACGACTCAAACAAAGATTTGTTGTCAAAAGTGGACAAACTATCGGAACAGTTGCAAGACTTACAAGTTTTACGCTTTGATAACACAAACACATTGAAAGATGTCTTTGAATCGATCGACAAACCAATGGCTAAATCGGACCCCAAGAGCGACCCAAATGATAGTCAACTGAGATATAAGTTATGGTATAAACCGGAGAAGAATAACGTGAATGAGTTGTCGAAAATCAATTCGTTGGAGCAGAGGATTAAAGCCATTGAATCGGTTTTGGGCGCAAATGAGAACAAGTTATTGCTATTAAATAATCACTTCAAAGACAAAAGTCTTAACGAAACGGTTCACGAGTTGAGTGCAAAAGTCTCTCAATTCGACCAAAACTCTCTCGAAAGAGTCGATTCCCGACTCCATATGATTACCGATAAGTTGTCTCAAATCGCGGACCGAAAGCAACAGTTTGACGATTTGGAGAAGAGCTCGAAGATCAACGAATTGTCTGATTTGATTAATAAGACTGAGAAGAGTCGGTCAACACTTCCCACTGTTTTGCAACGATTGGAGGCATTGAATGAACTCCAAGAGCAAGGTTTACAGTCATTCTGATTATCTCTACTTTTGATCATTAATATGACATTTCATTACTAAACAGCTCTTCAATTCTCTTCTGGTCTCTCATATTTGGATGCATTGGAGACACAGATCTCAGAGTCTATGAAAACCAATGAAAAAGAATTGCAAACTTTGAAGAAGTCTTTTGAGACCAACGTTGAGTCCATTAAACAATTACTTATAGATTTTGATAAGAGATTACAAGCATTGAAATGAAATTAATGTTTGGCAATCATTTTTATGATCGTATACAGCAATCAATAACTATTGGTTTTAATTCTTGGCTAAAACTAATTTATTTTAATTTCTCTAATATTTACAATAAAAGTATTCATTAATATTGATATTAAGATATAATTATAATTAAGTATCACTTTTGTTGCCACCTTTGGTTGGAGTAGTATTGGAAAGAATTTGTATATCATTTTGGGATATGTTTAAAGTGTATCCAGTTTTGGAGCCCTTATTCATTTTGTCTTTATTAGAGGGTTGTGTTCGTGAATTTATTTGCTCTTTCGGTGCCATTAAAGTGATTATATTTTGCACTTCTTCTCTCATGGCATACATATAAGCCTTGGTCTCCCACAAGGCGTTACAGATCTCCACGTCTGACGTCTCATCCAATGCTATCACTTCTGATAATAACGGATTGACCCGAAAGTATGGCGTTTTGATTCCACTGCACCACGACTGGGCTCTAGATGTTTAACAAATAAAAATACACTCATTATTATAACCATAGACACTTTTAGTGATACTTCTAAATATGATACGAACCGGTCAATGATGTGTCCCTCTGTAGCGCAAACCTGATTTATCAACAGATTTCCTAATTGTCTCACATATAATGTGTTTTTATACAACTCTCTGGCATTGAAAGACCACAGTCTGACCACATCCACCGGTTCTGCCGGAGTGATAGCAAACTTTCCGGTGCCAAACGAGACGACTAAATCGAGTTCATTCGCCTCTTTAGTCCTTCCGACAGCTTTTAGAGCGTTGTTATAGTGTTTGAATTCTGTCATCGCATCGAGTGTTGGGTTATTAGCAGCCAGTCCTCCGTCCAGAAAGGGTCCACTGGCTCTGAAATATGTCGGCGCAGCACCCGATGCCCGACACGCTCTCCACGCTATTTGTTCCTTATAGTTGGGATATGTCTTGAATCCGGGCATAGTTTGTGATAATCCAAGCACTTCTTCAGGTGACTCATAACTTCTAAAGATATGAAGCTTTGCTGGATTTCTGTCGATGAGAATGGCGTTAACAATGAGATGTTTGTGGTATTTGGTCATCACATCAGACATTCGCAGTTCGGAACCGATCTCTTCTTCAAGTAAAGTCTCGAAATTCTTGGAACTGTAAGGACGCGGACCCGACAGTATCTTATCTTTAAATCTGAAATAAATGGCTCTAATCTCTGTCAGTGATCTCCCAGTGCACAGAAGTAGTGCTAATATAGAGCCAGTGCTGGTGCCGGCCACCCAATCGAAGAAGGCTACGATCGGAACTTTCAGTTGTTTTTCCAAATCAATTAACATTTGCAAAGTTATGAGACCACGAACTCCACCACCTTTTAGACAAATATGATTTTGTTTTTAATGTTAACTAAAGTTTATAAAAGTTTATTAAGAGTACAGACCATCCAAACACAACAGTCGGGAACCACTCGGTTGTGTGGAATCGGTTTGCTTTCTCTTAAGCGCCTCTTTAATGATGGGTTCGAGTAATACTTTTGTGTAAAGCATTTCATTTTCATTATTAGGCCATCGATGGTATGGTTTGCCCTCATAGTTGCCATTGTAAGCACATCCAGTCTTACATCCTTTTGTGCTGGGATTACATCGTTTTGCTCCGATGGCAGTCAACAAATATAGGACCATATGGTGATCCGAGTGCTCTAATTGAGACGAGATATGTCGAGCCGTCTCGCCGTTGTTATTCTTGTCATCAAATTTTGTGTCAAATATAATGAGGGCTTGAGATGAGGTGACATCGGCTGCTCTAACGGCGATATGAAGGGGAGAATCACCCGATTTGTTGGGTTTATTCACTTTAGCGCCGAAGCAAAGCAAACCGATGAGACACTTGAGTCGCATCCTCTTAACCATTATATGAAGAGCTGTTTCTCCCAAAACATTTCGTACATTCAAATCAAAACCAAAGCCAATGAGTCGTTCCATCGCTCGTCTATGTTTAGCCCAATGCAAAGGTGTTCCTCCGAATTGCATGTCTTCTTTGTCCAAGTCGTCGATGTCTTCCTTTTTGAAGTGAACTATGGATCCGCTATATTTGGTGGTCTTCTTCCTCTTTGGGTCGGATAATGTCATCATTTGGACAGTGAGTCCGAACTCCAACAGAAGTATGACATTCTCGTAGCGTTTGGTAAAGCAGGCCAAATGCAGAGGAGTACAGCCATCATTATTCTTCCACTTAAGCATTTCCATAATATTCGGCTCTTTTAGCATCAATAGTAGGATATCCTTATCAGACATCACAGAGTAATGAATGGCAGCATATCCTGACTCATCCCTGGCTTCCATATTAGGCTTCAATGCGAGTATAGCTGTTGCGGTGGACACTCTGCCCGTCTCAATGGCCAAATGCAATGGCGTGAAGAGGTCTGGTTTGCTCTGAGCGTTAAGGTTAGCCAAGATATAGGGGGACTTCTTAACAAATAACTGCTCCAAACCTACTTTGGCTGCGATATGAGCTGCGGTCCAATTGTGGTGTTCTTTCATCGAATCAACGATCTCTTTCAAAATGGGAGAAATAACTGTTGGTTTCTTTGATATGATCCCATCTGCCAATAGATTGAGCATTGATTTGACACAATTAAACAACTCTTCCACATGTTTCCTCTCAATGTCTCGATATAATACAAATATAGAGAGTCTGTCCTTTTTGAAGATGAGTGAAAACTTTTTTGTATCTTTCTTTGTATTCTTCTTTTGAGTGCAAACGTAAACCTTATTGTCATGTAAGAGGACTTCCCTTTGTTCCCATTCCATGAAAGTCAGATCAAACACTGAGAATCGGTTGTTCATCACATCTTTGGTCCTCTCAACCGATTTCGATGTAAACCAACTAAACATTGACTCGTTTTTATTACTACAACAACAATTGCTACAGAAATCAATTTTGATCTTATTTTCGTTTGACAGACAATGTCCACAATAATTTGCGTTATGAATGTCACTAATATTATGGCAAAAGACAGTGTAATAAACTGCAAATTTAAACTTTAAAGTTTAAACCCTTTCAGTGCAACAATCAATGCATTCATTCATTTCTCGCACTCTTTATGACAGATATTGTGAATAATTGAGTTTAAAATTTTAATTCAATTGAGAATCAGTTGAGAGTAGAGAACAGACATATATAGAGACGACTTCTTGAGTGCATATCTGTGACTAATATCCAGCAAAATGCCGATCATTTCGGACCAAATGAAGAAGAGCCAGAAGAAGGCCGAGAGAGAGGACAAGAAGCGGAAGGAAGAGGAGGAGCACCGGCAGCGCGAAGAGCAGGCCAAACGAGAACAGGAGGAACGGGAGGCCAAAGAGCGCGAAGAGGAAAACACTGAGAATCGGTTGTTCATCACATCTTTGGTCCTCTCAACCGATTTCGATGTAAACCAACTAAACATTGACTCGTTTTTATTACTACAACAACAATTGCTACAGAAATCAATTTTGATCTTAATTTGGTTTGACAGACAATGTCCACAATAATTTGCGTTATGAATGTCACTAATATTAGGGCAAAAGACAGTGTAATAAACTGCAAATTTAAACTTTAAACCCTTTCAGTTCAACAATCAATGCATTCATTCATTTCTCGATCTCTTTATGACAGATATTGTGAATAATTGAGTTTAAAATTTAAATTGAATTGAGAATCAGTTGAGAGTAGAGAACAGACATATATAGAGACGAATTCTTGAGCGCATATCTGTGACTAATATCCAGCAAAATGCCGATCATTTCGGACCAAATGAAGAAGAGCCAGAAGAAGGCCGAGAGAGAGGATAAGAAGCGGAAGGAAGAGGAGGAGCACCGGCAGCGCGAAGAGCAGGCCAAACGAGAACAGGAGGAACGGGAGGCCAAAGAGCGCGAAGAGGCCGAGAAGAAAGCGAAAAGGGATGAAAAGAAACAGAAATACAAGGAGAAGAAGACCAAAGAGAAGCAGCAGAAGGAGGAGCTCGAGAAGAGGGCGACGATGAGGAAGGAGATGGCGCTCATTAAGAGGGCGGGCGGTGCCAAGGCTATCAAAGACGAGGAACTCCTACAGCGCCACAACCTGACGATTCAGCGCCAGGAGATCAAGTCCGGCTCGTACTCCAAGATCTACGGCGCCAAACAGGGCGACAAAGAGGGGCTCGTATGCAAAGTGACAATCCTTGAGAAGTCTCCGCAGGACTACCGCGAGAATCTCAATCAAACGGCAGCGAAGATCCAGCGATATGTGGGTCAGAGCGCCAGCGAAGGCGAGGAGAAGACCAAGAGTCCAGACAAAGACAAAGACAAGAGTCAGGACAAGGAGAAGGCGGCAGACGCTGGTGAAGGGGCCGCCCCGCCGGCAGCCGGTGCTGATGGCGGCGCCAGTAGTGGCAGACATCCAAATCTGGTGAAAGTGGTCGACATCTACGCCACCGACAAGAAGATGTATATCTTTATGGCTGAGTGTCAGCCGAAGTCAGTGTTGGATAAGTTCAAGAAGAGTGAGANGCCACCGACAAGAAGATGTATATCTTTATGGCTGAGTGTCAGCCGAAGTCAGTGTTGGATAAGTTCAAGAAGAGTGAGACCGTCGACGAGAATGAGGCGAAGAAAGTGTTGAAAGAGATCGCGTCTGTCATTCAATACCTTCACTCCGTGGGTGTGGCCCACTGTGGCCTAAAGCCGAGTCACGTGATCCAGGACAAGGAGGGTCGAGTGAAAGTGGTCGGTATGAACCAGTGCTGCTTCTATTGGGACCCGGATATGGAGACAGTGGTCAGTAAGAAGAGGCTCTCGAAGCAGTTGTTTGACAAAAGCCCTCATTTGCCGCCCGAAGCCTTCAAAGCGGGGACATGGGATCCGTCGGCGGCTGACGTGTGGGCCTTCGGGTGCCTTATGTGCGAGCTGTTGGCCAAAGAGAGTCCGTTTAAGTTGAAAAACAAACAGACTTTCGATGAACAGTGGAAAGCGTTCGCCGAAAGCAAGCAGTTCTCCGATGAGGCGAAACAACTGCTCGACCGCATCCTCA